AAACAATTTTTTTTCACATATAGTTTTCAAATACTCGAAAGTGACTTAAATCAAAATTTCCTGTATTTCGTTTAAAATTTTGATTCACAGGTCTATTTGATTGGACTATTAGCTAAATGCAAAACTTTATTTCATTTTATAGTTTAAGACACAGAAATCACAATAAAAATTGACAAATGTCAAACCCTCGGAAGGAAAGTTATTTTTCTACTTTATGACGCCGCGGTTTTGTGCATGCCTGTCAGATTACCTTTGCTTCCCAAACATTGTTGCCATATTTATTTTGTATTAAAGAAATTTAAAGCATCCTGCAGTTTCTTTGTAGCAAATGACTTTCAGTCGAATGTGCTAAATTTTATATTTAAACTGTACCAATTTTAAGATGAGATAAGACATTAAACAATTATTAACAAAATTTATAGGGTGGCTTGCCAGGGCACTTTTAGGTTATCCCGAAAACATTACAGCAAACAAATACTTGGCTATGACTAGACAGAATCTGCGCCTGGTTAAAGGCATTCTGACTGGTCAGAAGCATCTTCATATCGTAGGGGCTGTTAGAATTTGCATTCTGCAAGATGTGCGAACAAGAAGACGAGACCATCGAACATATCCTCTACGATTGCCGTATGCTTTTATCTATTAGAAGATTTATTCTGCTAGAATTGTCTAACTCCGGTCGATATAAGAGAAGCACCTCTTGGCGACGTTGCCAACTATATTAATCTGTAGGATGGGTCGTAAGCTAGAAGGTGCCTATCTTTGTAGAATGATACACAATAGGCCTAAAGGCCGTAGGTTAATCCAGCCTCAACACGTTACCGATACAGATAGGGTGACTTGAGGCCCACATTTTAAAATTACATAATAAAAATGGAAATTGTAATTTGTGCAAGAAGAGTGGATGTGGGAAATCGACTCGAATTGTACAGTATATTTTTTATACGACCCACTAACGAAAATCTACAAATTAAAAAAAATATTTTAGGTTATTAAGACAAAATAACTAATTTTAAAATAATTTATGAATTTTGGGTAGAAGGTAACACTCTGTTCATGCGTCTACGGCCACTTATACGATTTTAGTTTTAATACTCGTAATTAAAATAGTTTAGTTTATGGAGATCTTTTTGGTGGACAGTGACATTGCAACATATTTGTTATTATTATTGTTATGTACAATTATTCATAATATCGAATACACACACACACACACAAAATTTTTTAAAATAAAAAGTGTTGAAGAGTTTAAGTTTTGTGTCGTTGTACAAAAAGTTTAAATTATAGTGCAAGAGTGCAATTAATACATTAAATACATTATTTTACTTACATTGGAAGCTTTAAAAAGGCCTGGATTAATTTCTCCAAGATGTTTCTTTAGCTTTATATCTGTGAAATATCTCATTTTACACTCAGAAAATATTTAAATTTTGCTTTTTTGTTTTTACCACCCATGCTATATACTTTTTTTTTAAATTATTTTGACTGTTCATAATTTTTTGTAGAAAAAGCAGTTTAATTTACATTGACATAGAGAAATTTAAAATCATATATAAACGAACCCCTACCTACAGTCCAATTTGACGAACTTTACAAAAACAAGAACCGAAATTTAATGTTTGGTCAATGACATCTTCTATCTAGTCTTCATAATTATAAATTGACAGATAACGGTTTGTATCAAAGGCAGTTTATTTCCCAGTCATGGTAATCTATGTACCATAGCGATAATACAACTTTGTGTTATTTTCACTTATTAGTAAAAAAAATTCATTCACTGATTTAACGCGATTGGTTAAAAGCAGCGACACATGGTACAGGAATTATATGCATAATGAAATACTACGTTTCGATAATATTAACGAAACGTTCATTATTTAAAATTAATAAACATACAGTACCTTTCCTAAATAAAAATTCAACTCTATGCCTATAGTATTTTACACAGCCATATGCCATCACAACATAATCTTCGACTAGAAAACCATTCTTACTAGTATTGTAAGCACTTTGTATATTTCAGAAATGGTTGTCGTTTCCTTGCCCGAACATGACTATTACGCGAAGATGCATTCCGCACTTAATCTGATAAATTGACGGTACTGCGATACGTCGGTACTGCACCCATGGACATTTTTCATTTCCTCCTCTTGGTGAAGAATTTGTCAGTGTTACATAGATTGGTACCATAGGCTGTAATATATAATGCGTGGCGTTTAAATTTTTAAAACGGTGTCCGCTTAAGTACCAGGTTCGACCAAAAAGTTCACAGAAAGGCGCTTTTTTCATGGATTACAGAGCCTAACAAAATAAGTGACTAAATAATAGACAATAATAGGGTAAGTCCAGGTTAGATGGACCACCGGCGCGGCGTAGACGTACTACCTCAAAACAGTTCAGAATTATGTTCAGTACATAACTAATATTTATTTATAAAATAAAAATGACAGTACCGTCGCATCAGATTTATTAGAAAAAATTCAATATAATTCGAAATATGACAACTAAAATACAAGAAGCCAATCTGACTTTCATGTATCGCAAGCCATCACTAAAAGCTCCCAAAATACAATTTTTATTAAAGGTTTTAAAAATTTAATAGACTGCCTACAGAAAACAATAAATGTATTCAAAAGTAACCTCAAACAATACTTGATAAATAAACAGAACAGATATACTTTCTTGTGATATTACTCTTTAAACCTGCCCTTTTTAAGTATTTCCCTTAATTTATTGTTATTTTACCCCACGTTTTACCCGCATTTATTATAAATTATTTCTATTTTGAGATCATGTACTTTATTTTAAAAAATTACTTGATGTTATAATAATACTACTTACTATGTTTAAATTATTAATAGTTTTGCGACGACAGGTTATAGCAACTTATAGCCACAAATCTATTTTTGTGTTAAAGTAGATTCATAGAGAGCAATGTAATTTACAAATGCCTTCTTTCAACATATAAATAAATGACAACTTTATAATTAAAATAAAAAACACAACAAAATACCTCGGTACCAAGGTAAGAAGATTAATTTTTAAATTTTATTTATTCAGGAAATTTATGACTAGAAATTTACTAATTATTATTTACAATTCGCTGGTTGAATATATAATCCAAAATCGTATAATAAAAATTTTCTACAAAAAAACCAGCAATATATTCTACCTTTGTATAAGAACATTATAATATCTATCTTGCTGTACCTTTATGGATAGCCTGAATTGAGATATACTACAAATTATTTGCAATAAATATTAAAAGAAGTATACATTTTTAAATAATTTGACATTTAAGAGCCATTCACACATCACAGTTGACATCTTGATACTTGACAGGCACAGCCAAGCATTATTTTGATTTTTGCCAAATAAAACGGCCGGTTAATTATTCTATGGGGTTGCGACGGAGATCCAATAAATTTGATGAGGGTGTTTTTGTGGCTAGGGGCGAAATAGTAGTACGCTTAAGTTAGCCCCACCATAAAAAAGTAATTTTTAAGAAATTGCTTATATATTTTTCATAAATTGGCAGGCTTGACTACTAATTTCGAAAAAAATAGCCTCTAAAATGGCTATATTTCACCTTTACTATCAACAGCTGTTGTTTGACAGGTCGTTAAAGAATGTTTGCAATTTATGGAATTTTAAGAATGTTAGGAATGTTGACTTAGAAATAATTGAAATTCCCAAAATTGTAACATAAGAAATGCATATGCAAATTTTAAGAAAATTGATTATAAAGTAGTTAGTATAAACCCAAAATTCTGAAAATCAATAGGGTTCTAAGTTAGAAGTAATTATTCAATAAAATCAAAACCACAAGTCAATCAGAACTTTCGTTCTAGAGTTATCGTGCCGGCATACATACATACATACATACATACAGACGACCAGACGAATTTTTTTTGCATTTTAGGACTCAGAATTATCGGAAACATGAAAAAAAGGTTTAAAAAATGGGGGTAAGAAAATTTTTTCGTCTGCACGAATGCAATACTGAGGCACCATAGGAAGGGCCTAAGTAAAAGCATTTGGTCACGCTTTCCGTTAATCTTGTTTAAAACCCATTTTGATGATTTGTTATGACATTATATTTTTTCTACGATCACTATCCAAAGTAGGTTTTTGCGCTTAGAAATACAACCGCCAAATTAACGTTTTCCGCGAACTGACATTAAGCGACAGCTTGACAGCTTTGTTGCTTATCTATTTTAAAGTAATAATAAAATTTGTTTATTTATCATATGGCCATGCAGTGCCGGTTTAAGGTACTTTTGCGCCCGGTGTTACTTGTAATCGCCGCCCTATCTATTAATAATTTATACATCTTATATTATTGAATTTGTATATTATTTAAAAAAAAAAAAATAAATTACGGGATTCAAAATTATTTATAACGTCACAATATCAATAAACCATAATTACGGTCAAAAACAGCTATAAAACTAGTAGGTAAACAAAAATAATATAAAACAAACAAAAATAATAATATAAAACAAGCAAAAATGACAAAAATGAGATCAAAGAAAAATGGAATGAAAACAAAATACCAGTCTAAAACATAAGTTACCATTCTTGTTTTCTACAATACTATCTTAATAAATACTATCACTAATACATTAAGGAACTGTTCAAATTAAGTAAAAATAAACTGTTAAAATAATAAATAAACAAATAACGAAAAATATTGCTAATGCCCATATTCTAAAATATTGACATGTTATGTTTAATACATTTAGGAACTGTTGAAACTAAATAAAAATAAACCATAAAAATATTAAATAGACAAATAACGAAAAACACATAATCAAACAGTCCACAGTCCACCACCCCTTCTTATTACTGATTACCAACAGGCTGAATCTTCGTGAGACGAGACGCCCAACTGTTTTCTCTGCGAAAATTCTTAATAGTGATATATCTAATAAAGTGCTCAACTGGTAACCCATTACTTTTACAAAATCGCAATATAATTGTAAGCTGGTCATGGTGGGTTATATCTGACGTAGAATCCACGCGCTTACTGAATAATACTTATTAACTTTAATCTGTTTTACTATTTCCTTTAAAACTTTATTTGATAAAATACCTATAAACTCATCGCAAATATCTTTTGATAAATAAGAAAAGGTGCCCTTTCCAGGATTTGCAAGTTTCATTATATGATCTTTTAAAAAAGGATGATATTCAGACAAAAGTTTAATCGCACCCAAATAATTGCCGTTATTATCTTCGCCTATCTTTTCATTACTACCTCTAAATGCTAACTCTTGTGTTGCTAAACATTTTATAACGCTAATAATTCTTTTTAATACGTTAATCCAATACTCCTTTACTACATTACATACTATTTCAAGTTTATTATCAATTCTTTCAGTAGTAAAAGAGTGCGCAATATATATCCTTAGATTGTTTATATGCTCGGATGATCGTTCATGTTCATCAAACCTTTCTTTATGCCTATTCCAAGATGAAAAACCTCTCTTAAACTGGTTGACTGAACCACTAAATAACATAAAATAAAGGCAGTACACATTACCTGTGCTTTCAGAATATATTGCCTAATCTCGACGTAAAATTTCTCAATTCACTAACTTTCTATGGAACATTTGTTTATTTTCCCACCTGTTTTGGCCTTTAAATGGCCTCTTGGATTTGGAAAAATTTATTTGTTCCAAATTCTGACGTTTCCAAAATTCTAGAATTATTTCAATATCTCGACCAGTGTTCCATAGGGCTAGATCTTTAAAATCTGGTAAACCTATTTCTGAATCTACAATAAAAATAGGTACAAGCTTTATTATTTATATGTAGCAATAAAAAAAATGATAATTTAATATTGGTAAATTACCTATATTATACCTACCTAATATTATATCGTTATCGTTGGGCTCTAATTTCGTTTCATGAAGTTCTTCCTGCTCAAGAACTGTAAGATGTTCCATCTTATTCTTTTCATTAACTCCGTCATCATTCGGTAATAATAATGTCAAAGCAAATGAAACCGTATCTGTGCTTATACAAACACTGCCACTCGTACTGGAAGAACCAACAATGCCCACTTCCTCTGGTGCCAGAGGTGCCGAAGCAGCATTTATTTGAAAAAAATTTGTTAATGGTGGGATAGTGTTTAAAAAGTTTTGTCGTTTCAGTTTCCTCTTCTTCAGTAGAATCAAGGTAATTTTCATTCATCCATTCTTTAAAACTAATTATTACATATAGAAGTCAAGGAGTCGGAATGGTATATACAACAAGTAATTGCTACAGGAATAAAATACACTTGTACCTCCGTTTTCAAGTGTGTTAAATACGAAAAAATAGTGAAAAAGCAAAGCCACCCCCTCAAACAGTCAAAACCTGACAAAAACCTCCATTTTTTGTTATTTTTTTCCTTGTTAGATTTCAAACCTACTGGTTGAAATAAGAAGAGAATTAGTTGCGATTTTATCGATGTCCCATCACAAGGAAATGTTTCAGTCACATTATATTTCCGCTCTTAATACGTTTTCGAGGATACTAATTCCGAAAAAAAAAATAGTATCACGTACTTCGAACCCTTCCCATCCAATTTTAGAGTAATTCTTAAAAATTTGGATGGCATGTCACATCATTTAAAAGGTAATTTAGAAGATAATATTATTTTATTTCTACAAAAATTTTGTCCATTAAAAAGAGTTTTAATAATGTAACACTTTTATATATATCTAATGAACTAGCACGCAACCATTTAAAAAATCGGGCATTTTTTTTAATAAGTCAAAAATTATATAATTTTTAAAAATTTTTAATAATTTTGAAAATGAATTTTAAATCGACAATTTCATTTAAAAAAAATTCCATTTAATCGACCTTTTATCTCCTATATTAGGCGAGATACCAAATATAGAGACTCGAATTCGGAACACAGTGTATACCTTACTGATCTTAACATTACATTACAAAGATCATTTTTGATGATGCACCAGGATGCACATGGATTTAAAAATACCTCGCATGTACTGCGCAAAACTGGAGTTATCTATTAGCATATTAACACATTTGCCTTTCTCTTGATTAAAGGGTGGTTTTTGGCTGTTTGGGGAATGGGAAGAGTTAGAAAAACATCCTCAAAAACGAGTGAATACTTTTTAAGAACGAGATATATAAAAAGTCAACTAATTCTCTTCCAAACACTGCAATCTCACAAGCAAAAAAAAAATAATTTAAAAAAGGGTGTTTTTTGAATGTTTGTGGGGGTGGTTTTGCCTAAAAACTTTTTTCACTTAGCACCCTCGAAAACGGGGGTACAAATAATGTTCTTTATTTCTGTAGCAAATACTTGCCACTTTTTTAATTTTTCCACTCCACTCCACTAATATAGAATAGAAATAACGTAGAGTACCGAGTAGGTACCTATAACCCAAAATAAAATAATATTTAATAATCATATTTTGACTTACCTAATTTAAATCCACATTACTCTCAATCATTAACTAAGTCTTATTTTTCGTCCCAATTAAATGAAATCCGAATAAAACCGAGAAGAAAACTTATGCACTTACTAACGCTAAACGCAAGAATAACAAAATGCACTCTAATACTATAATGCAGTGGTTTTCAAACTTTTTTGGTGACGAAACCTTTTTAAAAAGTGAAATATTTGACGGAGCCCTAAACACATTTCGGAAAAAAAGTCCTTTTTGCTCTAGCCTCTTGCCAGGTCCCTCCCGTTTCTTTGCGGAGCCCCTACAACAAAATTTTCAAAATCATATACGCCTTCCTCTTCCTGACTTCTATAAAAAAAAAGGTCCTTTAACCCAAAATACTACATTCATATACTCCTTCCTTTTTCTCTGGCTTCTAAAAAAAAGTCCTCCAACCCAAACATACAAAATACCAAACTCTCATATACTCCTTCTAAAAAAAGCAAAAAAATTAAGGTCCTCAAGCCAAGTCCCGTTAATATTAAAATAATATAATATCATTACTAGTACTCTACCTGCGCACCGCCTTATTACGATTTGCCGCCCGGTACTAAAATCCCAAATAGCACCCATGTAAAACCGGCACTGTGGCCATGGCAACGTTAGAGAAAAACACGAATTTTACTGCTTGAACAACATAGATCATAGATGTAAAATTTTCTTGCTTATTACATACTAAAATAGAGCCGAAAGTTTAATAACCTTTAAGTTCTGTCACTTATTAATTCAATCCGAACAAATATATTACAGATTTTTGACTAAGACGAATGTGCGGAATTTTTTTTCTTGAAGCTCTTGCAAGTCTCGTACTTACAAAAACGATAAACGACAGATGAAATTCGAATCGGATGTATTATTTATAGCCGTACTCCATTCAATCAAGAAAAACATCGTGGCTGAAATCCAGATAAACGAATACCGTTAAAAAATTGTAAATCAGGAAGACCAAAAACTCGGTGGTGATCCCGATTCTCGCCGAAATTTATTGTTCTCGAAATCTCTTAGCAGTTCCTCGACACGAAACAAAAACAATAATAGGGCCATGTCGACCGCCAACAAGATTCAACTACAATGATTCCGTGGGTAACGCAAAAAGATCCCAAAGCCACTTAGTGTCAGTTTTAAAATATACCTAAGGAAGAGTAAAAACATTACAGATTTCGAGACTTATAACGCACAATGCGCGCGAAGTTCATTGTACTCCCCCAGTGCCGGAACGAACATTTTTAAACAACAATATTCTACAGATTAATATGCTATTTATTTCGAAATTTATAAATAATGTAGAATATCTACTAATTTGCTAACTGGCAAAATTCCTGCAAATATTTGAGTATTAAAATAGTATATTATGCAACGATCATGTAATGATGGTTATTAATACACGAGCATTAACCGGGATACGAAACGAGCCAAAGGCGAGTTTCGTATGGTCTATGCGAGTGTTTTAATAACCATTACATGAGAGTTGCATACGCTATTTTTTCTACACCCGATAAATAATCAAGACCTATAAATATTATATTTATATTGGTATTGAACACAATAACAGTAATTACTCGTATTTCTATAAAAAATTCTACAAAATTGTAATTAATGGTATTACTTCGGGTATTGGTATTTCCCTAGCTTTTTGCTGCAAAATATTTTGTACTGTATTTTCTGCTTTCTCCGATATGTGTGGAAGAGTCTTCTATATCGCTGATATGAGACATTTTAATATTATAATTATCGAAGTTTAGCTATCTACGAAAATTTAATACGTTTTGACAACTAAAACAATTACATAGAAACCTAGGACAAACGTCAAACAGCATGCTTGATTGAAAAATAGTAGGTTTCTATTGATTAAAAATCTGTATCGTAATGAAAAATCTGTATCATAATGGGTATCATTATGAAACGGATTATGGGCATATAAGTGCATTATTATAATACGGGTGTAGAAAAAATATTTTACCGCATATTTTCAGAATTTCTAATCTCTAAAATCAGTTTCATGAGGATAGTGTGTATTTTTTTATTTTATGGTTTTTAAATGATATTGTTACGCAGCACCCTGCAGCGTGCTGCGGTCGTCATAAGTAAAGGTACGAGTAAATGAAGAAGATGGAATATTCCAGAAATGTCTCGAAATGTCATTCCTTGTCAAAGAAAAATCCTGATTGTTCACTAAGGTTCTAGAAGGTGGAGGCAAGCTATATAAGTCGACGACCTGACGTCAGTTTTATGATAGAGGTTATACGTGAATGTTATCAGTTGGATAGTTATTGTTAAAGTTAAATTGAGTTATTGTAAAGTTGAGTTAAAATAAATTGTGATACCAAAAACCTATGTAACATTGGTGACAGCGGTGGGATACAAAGTAGAAGTTCATAGTAAATACTAGATCAACTGAGTACGAAGCAGAAGAAAATGACTTGGAGCTTTATATTTGTGTCTGCATTAAACAAAAAAGTAATTTGCACAGTTATAAAATATAATAAAATCTCCAAAAATTATGAGGAATTTTTTTGTGTTCCTTAATTAAGACTTCATGCAAAAATCATATTGTAATTTTTTTTTGTAATAGTTTAGCCTTTTTTTCCAGTGTAGTATAGAAGAATAATTAGTGTTGTCTTGCAGTAAACAAATAACAATAAAAAAAATATAGTAAATAGTAACATGATATACATGATAGACAAAATAAAAAAGGGCAAAATTCCAGTTTGATCATTTTGTTAAACTGATTCCGGCCCTGCATATCCATGCACAGCAAGTAACTATCATCACTCAGGATTTTTGGTAATCTTTTTTAATGTATGAGCTGAAGAGGACAGCGATGAGAGCAATAATTGAATAAATTAAGATTAGCTGCAGATTCTTTCATATCAATGTAGTTAATCAGCTGAAAGTCTTCTCATTTATTTATTGAAACAACAATTATTCTTTATAAATAGAATAAAATAAGCTTAACATAATTCTAATAACAGCAAATATATAGTTGAATTTCTTGTACCAACCTGCATAGTGATAAATTATCTACTAAATTTGCGGTTTAAGAATATCTGTTGGAGTTTATTAAAGCTACTAGCAAAGTAGCTTTATGATTATATTTATAAATTATTGAAAGTATATTGCTGTTCCTATTATTTACGGTAGCGAAGGTACACAAGTTGCCATCAAGCTTTCAATTGATTTCCTCATAGCATTTTTTACGGTTTAAACCACGCTTAAAATTGTAAAAAACCATAACCCGAAAATGCTCCTTGTTCATTGCCATCACTTATTGGCAAAAAGGTTACTTTAAGCTTATGTCACTAAATTGTCACTAACTAAACTTGTAATCAATTAGACTGAAATCATCGTCTACTAGGAAAGCTCAGCAGAAAAAGAACAAGCCTCGAACATGAGGTAGGTATAAATAGTACACCATATTGTTTTTTGTTGCTGTTCAACTACTTCCCAAACTGTTTGTATGTAAGTGTGTGGTGTGAAAATGTCAGTTTTAAATAAGTGAAGAAATATGAGAAAGTAGCACCTACTTTCCACAAAATAATAAAAAATATTATCAAATGCTCTTGCTGTTTTGTCTAGATACTGATCAAAAATGTAGTATCAATCAACTAGATATTTATTATACTCTTTCACCCAGTAGTCTGTGAACAGTAATATGCATTGGCTTTGTCCGTCCGTCCGTCCGTCCATCTGTGTGATGTCAAGTTAAAAACGGAAAACGATAACAATTTTAAAATTTTAGAAAAAAT